GCAGGTAGCAGGGCTCTACGCTTACTTTTCTTTTTAGGAGCACTTGTGCTCCTAACTTAAAAAAATTAGGAGCATGTTCAAAATTTTAGGAGCACCTTCTAAACAATTATCCACAATTTTATCAAAAAGTAGCCTTTCCATTACGAGGTGATATTTGACTCCTCTAACTTTATTAAAAGTATGTCATCTTTTGTCAAATTCTTAAAAAAATTATATTTGATGAACTTTTTAAAAATGTTAATTAAAACGTTAAAATAAAAACAAGTAGAATAAGAAATATAAGTTACCAATCAAATTAAATCAGTATTAACAAAGTTAATTTATAGAGGTGGCACAGAAGAACACAAAAGTGGCTTGGTGTACTTTCAGACATTTAATGAGGTTCAGAAGTGGAATGAGTGCAATTAAATCCATAAATTCATGATGATATTAATGTTTTAAATATACAATTTTGAATATAGAAATATTAAATGATTTAAATAACTGAAAAGATACTTTAAAAATTAAACAAACTGCCAGCAGGTGGCGGTAAGTCACTGATTTTTATTACTGAATCATTCATTCAATTGATTCATTCGAATGGCTGATTCATTCAGGAATGAATCAAGTGACTGTCTTTATGAATGGGTAATCTCACTAGATTTGTTTTAAAAAAACAGTTCATTCATAAACGCGACACCGTTGTGTTTGAATGGAGATGCGCAGCGGCTGAGCTGTGACTTTGTTTTAAACCGCAGTAGTTTTCAGTCGCAAAAGCTTCGCGTCGGGTGGTTCTTATCTTCACGTCGTGCATTAAAATCGTTCAATGTACAGCAAGCCGTGCATTATCCCTTATGTATTCGCTCTTTAGCAGCAGTTTTTTTACAGCAATATTTAAATGACACCCTGGTCATTCTTGGTGTACCCAAAATGATCCCACACTATCGACAAGCATTTCTCTGGTGAAATAAAGCTTTGCTGTTTGGTTCCTCTGTCAGTTCATCTAATGCATGTAGTAGCCTCCGTGCCTCTGATAAGCACGTAATTTTAAGCTGGTGCACCGCTAGTGTAACTTTGTTTTCGTTTTGCGCAAGCTGCAACAGTTCTGTTCCGTGTAACAGAAACACTCGGTTTAGCGGAACCTGACGATTAATTAACCGTGACGTTTTAAAGCACGGTTAATCGCGAAACTGGTTAATCGCTGCATCCCTAATGGAGTAAAGTAGAGTAGAGGCCTTCCGTCACCCAGAATCATTTACTGAACGTCTCTCTCTTTTTCCATTGTTTTTGGTTCACCTCTGACCCTGAGGCGGACAGGTTCTTCTGGACTAGAGGAGGAGAAGATGAAAGAGGACAAGGAGGAGGACATCTGGACAGAATGGCGAGTGAGAGAGTAAGGAGTGGGGATATTTTACTAGAATTCAGTCACATGGTAGATAGTGAGAACCATTCAGTTTCATTGTCTGGAAAAGAGCAACTGGAACATTCTGCTTAACATCTTATTTTGGGGTCTATGGAAGAAATAAAGTCATACAGGTTTGTAAAGACATGATGGGGATTTTCTTTTTGGGTGGACTGGTGACTGACTATATTTTTAAATCTAAAAGACAATTTGGCTCAATGGTGTAAGGGGGACATTGTCCAATCCTAGAGGATTGGGTCCACCTGCTCATGTGAATTTGAGCCCACATGGCTCATTGTTACTGGTGAGATAACCACATAATTAGTCAGCACTCATGAGATCACACTGGATGTGCTTTTGTTCCCTAACGTGTGCTTTCTGCCCTGCTGAAAAGAGCAGTGCTGCTGGTCACCAGCATATGTTGTGTTTTGGACAGAGGTGTAAAGAGTACCTAAAAACCATACTTGAGTAAAAGTACAGATACGTTACAGTAAAAATTACTCCACTACACGTTACAAGTCACCAATTCCAAAACAACTTGAGTAAAAGTCTTAGAGTATCTGAATTTAACAGTACTTAAGTATTTTACTTATACTAAATATAGGCTTAAACTCAAAGATGCACTAGTCAAAGAGACTTGCCAGTGATAAACTGTAACGTTGTGGAGAAGCTGCGGAAAACAGGCAGAGGCAAGGATCTATGTGCAGGTATTTCATGGAAAAACTAGAACAAGCAATAAAGCAAAAACCAAAGGGAAAAAAGAACAGAATGACTGGCAAACAGACAACCATTACATTCAACAACTCACAAGGAACTAAAGAAAAACTAGGGCTATATATACACACAGGGGGCTAACAAGCTTAACAAGATAAGACACACCTGGGGAGACTAATCAAGGGGAACCAATGAACAAACGGACTACAAACTGACTACAAACACCACGGGAGACAGGAAGTGACATAAAAGTCCAGGGCAAGGCACAGAGAGCATGAAACAAAAACAAGAAAGAGTTGATTGAGGAGAGCAAACACGTTTATTTTCTAAAACCAAAATAAAACTGAACACCTCAAAATTAC